TATTTTAATATAATCTACATCAAAACATTTTTCATCACCAAAGTTCATATCTTAAGAGTACCTCTCAGACCAGTTTTTGCTGTCCCACCCTTACCTCTTGGGCACCCATTTTGTAAGGAACAAAATTTAAAAGCTGGGGAAACCAGGAGAAAGGAGGCAGATGAGAAACCAGGTACATGGACATTAATTCCCAATCTGGATCAATGACAAATTGCCTGCACTGGATTTGGAAGGGTAGGAAAATAATTTCATAGTGCCTTTTGTGTTTGTCTTCATTCCAGATAGTACTATTTCACTTCTAACCTTTTAGAGGAAGAACCCGGGAAGGCAGAGACGTTTAGAGTTCAAGCTTTAATGCTATGCTTTTCATCACAAAATAGAAACAAGACTGAACTTATTGAGCAAGAAAAATGCTCTCAGCATGAAGTGGTAAATGTGGGTAGAGGTATGACGAAACCACAGCAGAAAAGCAGCACATATCTCACAAAGCAGCACTCATTTCACGCTCCACTCAATTTGGACTTCATGAAAAGAAGTCAGCAAAGTTCTAACTCATGAAGTCTTCTGCTCATTTATAGGACGAAAAGCCACTGAGAACAGACAGGTTTTCTGGACACCAACATGCAAAGGGAAAGCTTCAGTTTTACTAAGAAGTTGACATTCAAAGGCTAAACTACTTACAAACCACACTCCAAGGTTCTGGTTTGCCTAACACAAAAAGCATGCACAAATGCACATATCGCCCCTTCTATTTTAGAAGAGAGAGCTCCTTATTAACCAATTTGTCTGGAGATACAGATAAATTAAAAACAAAAAAAAAAACAATAATAATAAAAACACACACATGACCATGCCTATTTACCTTGAATGGGATAAGAATAATGTGCTGGGCTTGGCTGGCTTGTGGTTAACCCTGTAGTGCAGGTAAGAACACTGTGTTGACTTGGAGATGGAGTCTGAATTAAACCACTTTCAGGTTTCATACCTGGCCACAATGCACCTGAATCAGATAAATTGGACCAATTACAAACAATACACTGGGACTGAGGAGCACGGTTATGCTTTCAAATATCAGCCAGTAGTTTAACATCTAAATCTTAAATTTGCTTGTGAGAGAAAATTACCGATTCTCTCACTTATAATGTACCACAAGCAAATACAATTTCATAGAACTGGGGAGTGGGGCCGCAGAAACAAAAATCTTGTCAAAACCCCAATAGCGATATATTTATATATATATATACATATATATATATATATGTAAGTTAATTTCAGTGGTTGGGGCAAATTGACTAGGGTTCAGAAGAAGAGCTAATGACACCCAACTGGAGTATTTGTCGTAAAGAGTGCCTGATGTTCATGTACAGCAATAAATCATTTATCCGCATTGTAAGGTGGGAGACATTTCACATAAATTTAAAATTCACTTACCCATTAAATAAGCACCAAATTTTTCTAAAATGTATTTAGTACTTCTCTGCCTTCTTAAGCTGGTTATTTTGTTACCTTTGTTTCTTCTGATTAAAAAAGACATACCTGCTTATTTTTATAAATTAAAAACATTATAAAAATATGTAACTTAGAAAAAACAGTCATTTGTAATCCCATCATCCAGACTTAACCAAGTTTTAAGTTTTAAGTTTCAGAAGAGTCACTCAGATTTCTTCTGTGTATTTACTAATTTTTTTATTTTTTTAATAAAAATGGGATATTATACATACTATTCATAATTTGCTTTTCCACACAATACCTCTAAGAGACATCTTTCAATGTCAGAACATAAAAATCTATCTCATACAGATAGACATCATAGCTGTTCACTTTCAATTTTTTTATCACAATGCTCCTGAGTGACAATCTTTCTAAAATATATTTATATCCTTTTCCTGCTTTCTTAGCAGGAAGGAAGCAGTGAGCATACCTTCAGATTTTCTCAGTTTTGTTACAAAGACCAATATTGTGCTGTGCTGTATTACAGAGACAGGCTACTGTGATATCCGAAGACATCTGTTTAGTACTAAATAGAACTCAATTATAGTTCTATGATTTTTAGGTTTTTGAATCACTTTGCCTTTTCTCTGTTATCTGTCACTTCTTGACAATCTCTTGTCTCTGGTTGTATCTCTCTTTTCATTTTCAGTAAACTAGGAAAACATAAACAAAGCTTTGCTTTTACATGAGATCCTAAGGATGCCTTTTACAAGTGAATAGTTTTTGTGATAATTTTGGCTATGCGAAAGTCTATAAAAGAACTTACTGTCTGGTTGTTCACTATGTTCTGAATAGCTACAGTTGCTGAATCAGTAGTTGAAACTAATAATTAGGTCCAAGAAAGTTCATCGATCAAACACACTCCAGGTAAGAAATCAATACCAATGTCAGCCACAGCTTCAAATTCGACATTAACTCATTTCATTTACTCCTAATCTGGTAAGGAATTTACAGAAGTATAATGCTTTAATAATAATAACCTCTGCTTCACCAGGGCACTGAGATATCTTAGTGCAACTCGAATCTGTAAAATTGTTGAAAAATAAATACAAGAAGAGTAAAGGGAGATGTGAAAATCTTAAAAGGCTGACAATTAGACATTGTCATGGTAATTGCCTTGGCCCAAAATCAAAACATTTTTTAAAAATCATATTCTTTTCTGATCTATTAAACACATGAAATAATTTACTTGAGGAGATCGAGGAATATCAACATTTCTAGCGTGAATTAGGAGGATTCCCCCGCGCCCCCGTGCCCCACTCCACCCTTAGTTTATGATTATTTAAAAAGTCTTGTCCAGGTTAGTCACAGCTAAAGTTCTTGCTGTGCCTGATTTCTGACAATAAAAATATTTAAGGATGCTATTTTTTTTAATTTATAATATGAAATTTGAATATTAGTACCACGATTCTTGGTGGTATTACAATTTTTAGTACACAAATCACATTTCAATGTCACGATAACTTCGAGATTTATTGTAATCAATATGATTTTTTTCTAAATAGGTTCTGAACCTGAGGTGTTGTATTTGTGAACATGTTCGTTACTACACTGTACTAAAATACTATCTTATTATCTTATTAACTGAGAATGTTTTGCTAGTATCATTATTTTTTTTTTTAAGTTTCAAAATGTAAAATGTCTATAAACCGGCCCTTCTTATAAGGCAAAAATTAAGGCAAAATGTCTAGGACAAGTAGGAGAAGAGCTAGTGTTGAATGTTTTTGGCCAGAAACACAAAGTAGATATTTAATATATAATTATTTTATGGAGACTGGAGGGAGAAGACAATATGGACACTGCCTCTAGCATCACTGTAGCCCTGCTCTTTAAGTACATAAACATCCTCCTTTAAAAAAGCACCCTTCAAAGAATTCCAAGTCATAGGTAGTATGACCAAATGGTGAGGCTGCACAGCATTACTGCCCATAGCAAATGATGAAACCGAAGCTTGGTTTCCTGACTAGTAGTTCACAGCTTTATGCCTACAAACTACAAAGCTTCTCAAGTCATTGTAAGCACCAAGAGCCTGATGTGGAGCAACACCTGGTCTAACAATGGGAAAAGAAGTCTGTCTCTGAGTGCTATTCTTCTGCTGCCCCATACTGGGGTCTTATCACAAATTCTACCTATGTTCCTCAGCACAAATATGTTACTATTCGTTAGTCAATAACCAAACTGATCTGAGCAATTCGGTTTGTAGTATCAGAGTAGTGTATCTTTAGAGATTAGTTTGGTTAGAAATTAAAGTACGTGTCAATGTGAGAAAAAAACATGAAAGAATATTTTGGTTCATTGATTCAATAGCTCACTGGGGTGAGCTTTCATAAATAGCTATTATAAATACTAAGTAATTTAATCTGAGTACTTATCCTAATTATAAAATAAGTAGAAGTATATGATAGAAAATTAGGAAAATATAGAGAGTATAAGGGAAAAACTGCAGTCTCACCACACAAACAAAAATACAGGCAGTTCTCACTTTGCACAGGACTATTAACTGAAACCTGTGTATACTGGAACTGTGTCCTCGCTTTGCATGAGTCTGTAGTAACTGATCAAATCTGTATAGTGCCTGTACCGTTCATTTCACATTTTTTTCCTTCCAAATTATTCTTGATGTAATATTTTTTAAAATACCAACTGGGTATATTGTATTTTCAATTTTACATACTGCTCTTTTCAATTAACAATAACCGGTTTTCTCAAGATGCTAAATATTCTTTAAGAATATGATTTATAATGGCTAGTTTTCCATTCTATGAATACACTACAATTTAACACAAACCTTTTGATTCAAAAGTACGCTATTTTCAATCTTTTGCTATTATAAATCATGCTGCAATGACTATCTCGGGGAGTAAATTTTTGTGGGTATCTCTAATTAGTTCCATAGGATAAATTCCTAGAAGTGGAAATTGCTGAGAGAAATGGAATGAATATCCTTCAGGTTCTTAATACATACTGTCGAATCTCCATCTCACATTAAAGTTCTTTTAAAAGAAGTTGGAACAATGGCAGCAAAGGTAATCTTTTATGAGCCCTTAAAAATAAATGAGTACCCTTTCCTCACACATACTCATTCAGGTCACAGCAAGTTAAACCTCTAACCCTCTTTCTTCCATCCTACTACATTTCTACATAGCTCTGAAAAGAATGTGACCATTCTTCCTTCCTTCCTTCCTTCCATTCTTCCTTCCATTCTTCCTCCCTTCCTCCCTCCCTCCCTTCATTTATAGGCAAGGCAACCCTTGGTTGACCTCACAGATTGCAAGGACCTTGTCAGCTTACGATCCCTTATTTTTTATTTTTTTTTACACCTACAGCACCTGGTCTTCCTAGGTGGTCTCCCATTCAAGTACTAACCAGGCCCGACCCTGCTTAGCTTCCGAGGTCAGACAGGATCAGGCTTGTTCAGGGTGGCATGACCACAGACTCTTCCTTTACTTTTAAAGATTACTCACAGGCTTCCTAGATTTCCTCTAGTCTTTTCTCCTTTCTTCAAGAGGAAACTTTTAAATTTCAAAGTCAACTCTGAGACTATCTTTTTCATATAGATCTCAACTATGAGCACTTCTAGGTTCAATTCTAATCCTAGGCATTTATTAATTGTATGAACTCAAGCTAGTCACTGAATCCTTCAAAGCCTGTTTTCTCATCTGTAAAAAAGGGATAATGCTACTACTTCTTGAGACTGTTCAGAGGATTAAATAAGATAATAATGTAAAGTACTTATTCTTAGCATACTGCTTGGTATAGTAGGCACTCAATAAATATTAGGCAATATTATTATGAGATTTTCTGAAGCTCTGTTTATACCTGAAATAAAATAAAAACTGGCTAATCTAATTTTAGTGCTAATAGGCAGCATTAAGATGACAAAATTTCCAAAATCCTCAATTTCTGAGAAGAAATAAATGAAATTTTATATTTGAGTGAACATATTTTAAAAAACTGCATGTTAAAACATGAGAAAAAGTCACTTTAAAAAGTATTCCATTTTCTTATAACATTCTTTATAAATTATGAGAATATGCTATACCTATCGTTTACATTACCCCAATCTAAATCTCTCTCCAATAAGTCTCATATATTACTTAAAGTCAAATTAAACTAATGATTACTTCTCTTTGAATTAAATTTATAAAACAAGTCTCCCTCATCCCCAAATATTAAACAAAAACAGATTAAAAGAACCCATTATAACCATTATTTCTTCATAATATAAACACTGTTTCCTTCAAGTTTTTAACCGGAATTGATCTATTTTATAGAATTTTCTTTCTTTAATACAAGGGAAATGCAGTGACATAAAAGATACCATAAAATCTAGGCCGTAAATGCACATGACACTGTGTTAGGTATTCCATAATCTGAGTTCAGAGATATAATAGGAGTTTTATTTAACACTGAATAGCGAGAATGATCAACTGTTCAACGATGTCCTAAAGGGCTTTGGGCTTGCTAATAATAAATTTAAATCAAAACAGTATAAAAAAAGTGAAAATACTTTATACTTGCTTGCTTATTACTAACTGATGATTGAAAAATCAGCTTTAATATACGCAAAAATAAATGAACACAAACATAACCATAGAGTTCTGTTTCCAAAAGGACTGCTCAGTCTTGGCTAGTTAAATATACGACAAATACAAGGTTTTAGTATACTGGCTAAAACTGACAGACATGGAGGAATGGGCTACTAACATGGAAACAAGAGCATTTCTGTTTCTCTTCTTTCATGAAGTTATCAACCAGCACTATCATTAAACATAACCCCCAATTTTTGTTTCTAGTAGTTACCAGAAGCCAAGGAATGCTAACAAGCCTAAAAGTAAGAAAACTGTCACTGTCACAAAAAACTAACTAAATGGACCAGGAAAAGTAAGAACGTAGAAACCAAAAGCAGGCAACACTAATAATATCTATAACCTGAGGTGATCTGTTTGGAAGATATTTCTAATTGCCACCTAGTCTCAGTAAAGGCTACAGAGATAGAATTTTATTAACATATTGCATATTTTATAATAATACAGTATTCTCTCAATTTTCTGACACAAGTTCTAGGAAAGCAGAGAATAGACAATAAAGCACACTGAATATATCTATTAATTTATACATGCAGAGGACAAATCAGTACATATATTAAATGCCCAAAGAATCTCAAACTGCCTTCTAGTAAATCATTCTAATTTATAATTCATATCTAAGATACCTAAAAACAAAAACAAAACTCTATGCACACGATAAGGTTATACGAAATTGGGGATTTCCCCCATTCTAAGGTAACTTTGGTTCACCAGAGCAATAATCGATTGATCAGTTTGGAAAGGGGGAGAAAAGAGAAGGAAAAAGACCACTTCCCCCAACCCCAGCCAAAAAAAAAAAAAAAAAATTAAACTATAAGGCATATTCTATCTGGATATTTAGATTACCTGGCTTTAGCAAGAAACCGACAATCTCAAAATATATTTATTATGCTTACCTAACCAAAGTACCATGGTTTTCAAACACAAAAGATTCCAAGCTTTACAGGCAAGACTTTGTACCTTAGAAATTTTGGTAGCTAAACAAATGAGTACTGAAAAGTTGTGATTTTATATTACATGCATCAAAAAGATTAGTTTGACATTGCTTTGCAAAATGGATTAGAAGGGAAAATATACTGTTGCAAAGTTGCATACCCAAGTTCTATCACATCTATAACTGAGTAGGTGCTCTGCAAAGAACAAGCCATTTCTCAGCTTCCTCATCAGCCATGCTTGCTTTCTGAGGAAAGATATGCTTCTGAGGGATAAAACTCAACACTCTTATCAACTGTTTATAATAGGGCGCCTTACCAAAAGGAGGTAGTCCATATGTTTGGGTGGCCTGAGGGTAGACAGCGTATGGCTGAGACTGCTGTAGTGTCTGGTACTGAGTCTGCCCAGGATAAGCAGTTTCCGAAACAGGAACTGAGAGGATATGTGCATAAGGTCTGGAAAAGTTCAAGAAACAAAAACTTTCATGTGTAATTTATTTGAATAACGAAAAATAGGAGAAAAAGCTAATACCATTAAGTGCAAAGAATCAGCAATGAGGAGACTGACCTTCCACAAAAATGTCTTCTACTGTGCTCAGAAAGAAGAGTCAGTATTTCCTTTCCAAGTTCTACTACAACCATCTAAGAAACAAATTTATGGAGGATTTAATAGTTTCAAATATCCTCCTAAGGTCCAATTGCTATGCTGCAAACATTTGTGGTATGCTACATGTATGACCCTATGTGAGATACACAGATGGATTAAACTTGTTTATGCCCTTATGTCCGCATATAGAACAAAACCCTATAGTAACAGAAAATTGGATAGAACAGGATTTGCAATTGGCTCTCATTCTCCATTCAGCCCTCTGGGCCAAACTAAAGTTCTAAGAGGGAAAGTGGGAGTTGGAAAAGAGGGTGAGGCTGGTAGAAAAAAGGCAAGCAACCATATTAAAAAAAAACAGGGAGTACAGGTAGGCCCCAATATCATCAGATCAAGCCTACAAAACAGGAGCCAGATAACTTATTAAACGCTGGGAAGTCCCAGATAGGACTCAGAATTTCCCCACTGATATTTAAGCCAGAGTATACTGCCATCCACATCAGGTTTAGCTAGGGATCTGAATGTAGCAGTGAAACTTCTGGAATGTTAAACTAGCTAGATGATCTGCTCATTTTATTCATGCAGTGAAAGGATCCTACATTTTATGCACTAACTTTTTAGATAGCAGTTATGCTGTATTTACAATGCAAGAAAAAGTGTTATATGTAGCATATAAATCATAAAGATAAAATACTGAAGGAAAGGGGTGCTTCAGAAGGAAAAAGATTCTTTTCAGCTTTGGTGGAGAGGAAAATGAAGGAAGGCTAAAGAGTGGTATGTGAGTTGAGCAGATAAGATGTGCAGGAATGGGAAAAGATGTTCTAGGAAAAGAGAAAAACTCTAGCAAAAGTACAGAGGAAGGAAAGCAAGAGCTCCAGCCTGTAGATTATATAAAGGGAGGTACGTAAAGAGAAGAGAAGTAATGAGAGAAAGATAGATAGCCAAGACCTGAAATACCAGGCTAAGGGTTCGGACAAATTTGAAACTAGTGGGAGTCACTGAAATTGTTGAGCAAAGAATGACAAGATCGAAGCTGTTCTTTAATAAAGATTAGTTTGACATTGCATTGTAAAATGGATTAGAAGGGGAAAAAACTGGAAATAGAGGTCTAGTTTAAAAAACCATTATAATGCAATGGTTCAGGTAAGTGGTAAGGAAGTCTGAATTAAGATAGAAGGCATAGCTAATAAGGTGTCCTGAATACAGCAGGTGTGCATGAATGGATGAATGAACTGGAATATGCAATACATTCACATCTCAGTAGATTCTAAGAGACTGAATTTGAAAATTTCTATTCTTCTTAGCCAGACCTGAGACCAGGAAATAGCTCAGGTTGTAGTTGCAAGTTGCATGGAAATTATTTAAAATCTTAGATTAATCTCCAAATACATTAAAAATCATATCCTTTTTCATTAGTGTCTTTATAGCTCAAAGTATTTTGTTATCTCCTTCATAATGATCTCAGAGAATAGGTTCAGTCATTGCGCAGAAGACCACCACATGAAAATGAGTGACCAAAGGCTGCTATTAGAGTTAATACTAGATTAGAATTTGGAGAACTCATTGAGTTGAGTTTTTAATTAGTATATTTTTTAACTGATGCGAAATCAGAAGGTACAAATGAGCACAAAAAGGGAAAAAACGCTAGTTATTTTATAACAGCCCCACAGGCATCACTCACCTTTGTTATCAATTTCTTTATGTATCCTGGATATATAAGCACATAAGAATATATCCTAATTTAATAAACACACTAGTATGTATTTATGTATGTGCAGGCTCACTATCAATGCACAACCAGTAGCCTGGCATACACAATGTTTTATACCTATTCATCTTGGAAATGATTAACTTGGTGGATCTTAAGTGCTGATCTTGCCCCATGAAGGCCCCAAATCTTGCCTCTTGGTGACTTCAACCCACTAAACCTATCTAATTTCGAGCCCAGTTCTACTTTGAGGATAATCCTAAAATCAAGAAACTGAACATAGATTAGGCTGAGAAGTCCCAGTATGAGGCTGGCTTGAGCTGTTTTTATTGATCTGTCTATCATGGTAGAAGAGAGAATGATCAGAGGTCAATCAGTGACATGCTTTAATCACTAACAGTATTTTTTATTTCAGTGTCTACTCATTTAGAGCGAGCTTCCAGTTAATAGTGATCTATTCCAGGCAACCGCCTGCTTTTTAAAAGAATGTTACATAGACTCTATATTTAGAAGAAATAAAAAAATTAGAGTAGGGACAGAGAGAACAAGAGAGGTGAAAATAAGTTAAATGTTAATAAGTTAAATAGCAAGTTAAATTTTGCAATGAACCTCGAGAAAAAGCATACAGATTTTGAAATAATTATTCAACTTACTTTGCAGAATACATTTGTGAGGTATAATCATTGGATGAGCGAGGGATATAATCGGTGCATGTCATAACTGAAAGAAAGATATCACCAGGTAAAAAGTTAGAACATTTCAAAAATGAAATGGGAAAATTGCATATCTCACTGTATAGTCTTTCGAACTAAATAACAAAATACAGCTTGGACACTGGAAATTTAGAAACACTATGTAGTAAAAAATACCTCACTCTTCTAATGATGGGTTTAGAGACTTTTAGAGACAGTAAAAGTAGCTAGAATGTGGGGAGTATGGAAAAGAACTGAAAGTAGTACCAACTGACCTCTACATTCACCCATCTCTGATCTAAAACCACAGATGAAGCAACCTCCTAAGTTCTCTGCTGTGCCCATAGGCAAACTTAAGAGGCAAGGTCCCTATGTAGGAAACCATATTACACTTTTTCAACTTATTCATTCTCTGGGTGTTTTCTAAGTAAAAGGCCATATGAATGACTTGCAGGAAGACAGACCCAGGGGGAAGTACCCAATTTTATTAGAAAAAATGTTGCTACTGCTGTGTATAACCAGCAGCAGAAAGATACAAGTATGCTTCTTAGATACATGCTATCCTTTTCAGCTTTGTAGTAAAGGCTTTAAGTTTGGCAAAGCAGAGACAGACCAGAGAAACTGATGCGATGCTCTGATGAACCGTCAAGTAAAGAGACTTTTATAGCTAGTGTCCTCTTGAACTTCCATTACTTCATCTAGAATAGCTACTGTGAAGGCTTGACTCTCACGATTTCCTCTAGGATACATGCTATAAATATTCAACTCAAGTTTGACTAGAAGCAAAATCTTATTCATTAGGCACTATTTCAGTCCATGTGGTAGATAGAGTTACATTAAAAAGAGCTTGTACCAGACTCATGAACTATTCAAAAACTTCCTTCAACATCTATAAAGCGGGTTGCTCTACTATGAATGGGGACTAAGAGTGAACCAACTAAATTTATGTCTAGCTGAGCTCCCTGAGTATCTGACTCAAAAAGGGAACTCTGGTCAAGAGCAGATGAAGGGTATGTTCATGCCAAACAGTAAGACAAAACAACATCTATGAGTTTATCATAGAAAATCGTGTCCATTGCCATTATTCCAGTTCTTTAACAATTACTCGAAATCTGTAGATTACACTCATCCATAACCATTTTGACAGAAATGAAGACAATCTCAATTAGATCCAAAGTTCTTATCATCCATCACAAAGAATGTAGGTTTTCAGTTACTGAAAGTGATGACCTTGACAAAGGCAATTTCACTGGAAGAGTGGTGTTGGAAGCTAAATTTGAGAGGGCTGAAGAGTAAATGGGAGGTGAGAAATCAAGTGAGGCAACTCTTTCAAGAGGTTCCAATGGGTCATGGAACAAAGAGGAAGTCTATAACTAGTGGGAGATGTGGAGCCAAGGGGGGTTTTGTTTGTATTAAGATGGTAGATACTAGATCATGTCTCTTTACTGACATAAAGAATTAAGAAGAGAAAAATGTACCAAAAGCCCAAGCGGAAGGTGTGAAGGGATAAGATATCTAGCACAAGTAAAAGCCCTTACTTTTGACAGGAGGAAGAATATTATTTCATTTTGACAAAAATGATGCCTGTGTACAAACACAGGTAGATCTGAAGATTTGGTAGTGATGAGATGATAAAGGAATTTCCTGTATGACAGCTCCTAACTGAGGAGTCATCAGTTAAGAATTAGAAAAGGTGAGTGAATATGGGTGCTTTGAGAGAAAAAGTGGTATATTAAAAGGCAAAACTCATTAGAGAAATGTAATAGGATTTCCAAGCACGCTGGGTGCCCACTGACGCCCTGTGAGTAAGGGCCTAGGTATATAATTTGTTCAATAATGTTTAGCTATCTGAATGTACTTATACACAAGGTAGAGAGTTGAATTAAATTAGGACCGGGGTTCAGTAAAGAGTGAAAAAGAGTCAAAGTTATTGAAGGTATTTGTAAAGGAGTAATTATAATAAAGAACCATAGAATCTATGCTGAGTAAGAAAGAGCATGAAGACAAGAGGGATATGATGGGTATTGGATAAAAAAGCTACATGAACACTGAAATCACCAGAATAAGAGTCTGGATGGAGAAAAAAACAAGAAGATATAATTTTTAAAGATCAAAATGATGAGGAGTTCGATCTGAGGTAAAAATAAAGGTAGAGGAAGGCATAAATGTAGACTTCAAAGGAAGTAGAGTTTTGGAAGGGAAAAAGGAGAGAAATGATTTAGAAGGAGCAAAAAGAATCAACTTACTTCCTAGCCCTGAAGTATGTAAGGAACAGGCCTATTTCTTGGGGATGAGTGAGACATTAAAAAAATTAGGAACATTTCATTTATTAGAGCAGTTTCCCACAGTATGGAGAGTTTCCCATATGCATCAGAATCACCTAGCTATCTTCTTAAAGATGCAGATTCCCATCCACATCAGATATACTAAATAGATAATCTCTGAAGGTGAGGCTGGGATTCTATATTACAAACAAGCACTCCAGATGATTCTTAGGTACACTAAAAGTTTAAGAACCACTAAATAGTACCTTTGAGGAAATAATATATATGACTCAAGACATACCTGTTTTTTTTTTTTTTTTTAAGTTGTACCATTTTTTAATACACGGGAAATTTATAAGATTAAGCATAATCATCTTAAGAAATATCCCCCAAAACATATTTCTTTTTTTAAAGTGTCTTACACAAATTTATTCTTTTAAAGTGTGTGGCAAAATATGAAGAGGCCTAGCTATTTAATTTCAGGGTGAACTATTTGTCCTATAAAGGCAAGTTGTGGGAGTAAGCGGGTATGCTAAAGAAAGTTTATGTCTCCACAAGAAAATAACAGAACACTCTACAAATTTTTGTCTAATATATGAATGTACTTATTCTATAGGAAAGTGAGGGCTGGTAAGTACAGAGTGTATCTTATTGAGTTGGATCTACCTCAGGGCCCAATATCAATCCTGGGCTCTCAAAAGATTACTTTTCTAGATCGATAGGTAGAATCATTTGATTATTAGAAAGGTGGAAAAATATCAAGCCCTCTGGAAGAGCAAAGGTTGGCCCACAAAGTTTTCTGATTTTGAGTAAGGCACTCTTACCTTTAGAACATCCAACATCAAAACAAAAATAAAATCACGAAGTGTGACTTTCTTGGGTAAGTGGATTCCATGTGATTTTGTTCCTCAGCTGGTATGTCAATAAAGCTTATAGGAAAGCACAAGTATAAACACACATACAAGAAAAGAAAAGGCTTCTGGATATTCTGAGACAAACAAGGCAATCAATGAAAAATAACTATAAAAGAATAACATCATCTGGTTAGAGGAATACCTCTTCTGTCATACACAGAATATGGTACTTACTTTCCTCTGACATGGTAAGGTTTGAAGCAAGGCTTGAAGTTTCAGGTTTCTGATCACTGACTTCAGGGTTGCTTACTTGACTGGGAGAACCAAAATGAATACATTAGCTCCTGAATGATATGCTGTATTGCTAAAAGTGATTAAATCAAACTCATTTCTTATGAGGCTATACAGGTAAGAGGCAAAAGCAAGTCTTCTTCATGGTATCCTTATTCTTGGTTTTAGCAACTACCCAGGCCAGGGTTAATACCCACAACATTCTACTCTTCTTTCTCATATCACTCAGAAATTCCAGCTAAGTCACAAGCGAGTCAGATTTTCTCTAAAGAAAATATGAAAAATTCCACAACACCTAAAACTGCTGTCATTTTGTTTCCAAAATACCACAGCTAAGTAGGAAGGATGGTGGTGATGGTTGGCACGACAGTGTAAATGTATTTAATGCCACTAAATTATACACTTAAAAATAATGGAAATAGTTAATTTTATGTTATGTATATTTTATTATAATAAAGAAACTGATGAAGGGAGATAATTGTAGGAAAAGAAGGTGATAGTTTCCATTGTGCGACTGGAGAGGTCAGGCCCAGGTAAGAGCAGAGGAATTAACTTCAGAGGAAAAGGCAGCGGAGAATATTGTAGAGAAGCAGATAAGTGGGTAGATTTGGTGACAGACAAATGAGGTAGTTCCTATCTAATTGTTTCTAATTTCTCTTTGAATTAAAGAACAAAAGCCCCAGCAGAGTGAATGGGAGTAGAGTGGAGAGGAGGGGAGAGGCAGAAAGAGAAAAGGCAGGAGGCAAGGAGGGCAGGAAGGATGAAGGAAGAGAGAAAAAAAAAGGGAAAAAAGAAAATTATCAAGACTGGGAAATAAAGCACACCAGGAAAGGTGGTTAGACCACCAAGTGTTTAAATGCCTGTATGAGCTGTGATCATGGATAAAAACTGAGACCAATAGCATAGTTTTATGTTTTTCTCTCACTATATTCAGGTGATTGGAAGTAACTATGGCATTAGTAGACAGTTGGGTTTAACCAGGGTTGTGATTTTGCTAGGAAAGTATGACATAGAGAAAAGGGGGAGGAAGTTAAGATGATTTGTAAGGGGCTGATTAAAGTAAAAAATCTTATGATTTAAGCAGTATAAGAAAGATACTGAAGTCTTTTTTGAGGGAAGGGCCGATGGTTGGTAGTGAAAATATGATAGATCATTTAATTGGAAGTGTACAGTACAACACAATATGAATAGTGGGGTAGGAGATAAATAGGCTGGAATATGGTAGTAAAAGAGTAGGATTCTGGAAATGAAGATGTTAGAGGTGATGCAGTTACTGGTTCATATGGTTGGCAGACAAACGACAGGAGGTAATAAGAACTGTGAAAAACAAAATCCATGGTGTTGTAGAAGCCAGAGCATGAGGTACAAAGAAGCTGCCCCTTTTCTCTAAGGAGAGTGGAGCTAATGACTAAGGTATTCCATATCCATTTGGTAATTAATGCCAAATCCTTTGGATTTCCCTTACTTCTGCTTATTCTTCCTACTTTGTATACTGCACATCTGACTGAAGAATACTCACTATCGTGTCTCCTTCATATATCACAGGCTCTCATAGATAAAATGGGTTTGGTATATATTGTTGAATAAATAATGAATAGATAAGAAAACTAAATCAGTACGTATGTGTTTTAAGAACAAACTTTTAGAGGGAATTTTCACTGTAAACTAAATAATTTCAAAACATAAAGGTGGCTGCTAAAAACCAAAAAGAGTATAGTCAATCCAAGTCATGCCCATAATTAGCATGTAAAAAAAATTATAAGTAGGTCATTAAAAAGAAATTAAACTTTATATACCTTAAAGTTTGCTCCCCCGATTCCTGCATCTTGGCTTTTTTAACCTGCAAAAATAAATATACAAAAGAATCGATGTAGTGATCTGTTTTTGAAATTGTCTAGCTACTCAAATGGCTAACATTAACTAAAAAATTTCAGGGTAACTGTTTCGTCTTGTCTTGCTTAGATTTATTTAATTAATCCTTATTATATTTTAGAGTTAGAGAGAGGGACTTCTTTGTTTTTCACAGGGAGCTTTTTTTTTTTAATGAAAAAAGTGTTTTTCAGATTCAGGGTAAAATGTTTACCAGGATTTTTACTTAAGATAGAATGTTTACCACAATGAAATATCCAAACTTGGATATAAACTAGTTGGTTTCAAATTTTAACAGACACATAATTATATCATCTAACAGTAAATATACCACTCTTGATATCATCTACTCATTTAACAGAAATGTCTTTTTACTTAAATTACCTACATGCCAAAAATAAAGATAAATTCTTATTAGGCTACCAGTAATTTATAAGATATTCTTCACACTATTCTGTTTTCCCCCGGATTTTCGTCTTTTCTAATTCCTTCTGAGGTGAAAGCATTTACATCGAAACAGTTTAATACACAAATGAAAAAGCAACGTTTAATACTCCTAATGGATTTCCTTGCTTTCATATTACAAAAGAATCTGATTTTAGTGCTCTCTGGTTAGAATAACTAGTTATAATAGAAACATGCTTAGTATGGTTAGTCATACAAATTATGAATACTTAAAAGTATTTCAAGTAACAAAAGAAGGCAAAAACTCTGTTAAATACATTTAAACAAACATAACAGGTGGGAATGTAGCTATTTAATATGATTAAATTTAACATTTCAGACACTGTCTGCCTTAATTTGGGCAATTATGTCCCCTTGTAAGTCAGGAATAGGGAGCATGTGTGACCTTGACACTAGAGACAGGTAAATTAACTAAAAGGATAGAGACAGATTTCACTGGATTACAAAAGTAAGGGTTCAAACAATATAATCCAGAAACTGACAGAATGTAAAATAGTAAAGCTACTTTAGTACTTCAGTACCAGTTCCTCAAAAGGTTAAATATAGTTACCATATAATCCAGCAATTCCACTCCTAGCTATATAACAAAGAGAAATAAAAACATACCCACACAAAAACTTGTACATAAATGTTCATAACAGCATTATTTAAAATAACCAAAAAGTGAAAACACCAGTATCCATTAACAGCTGAATAAAATAATGATAAATAAATAAAATGATGAATGATAAATAAAAACCACATAATGAAACCATCAGCATTGAGTTTGATATATACATTCTAAAAATTTTTCCTGTGCATATAATGTTCTTTTAAAACTTGAGTTCAGAGAGTACTTCTGATAGTCACAAAAAAGTTTTTTAAGTGCTACCTGTTTGTCAGAAATAGTTTTGGTTTATACTTCTTATCCCAAAACCAAGTCTGGTTAGTACCCCCTTTCGATCTTCAAAAGAGTTCCAGTTTGGACAATCTTATGAGCTATTTCAGAGTAGTTGAAAAAGATGAAGACAGGGCGGGGGATGGGAAGAGACTGAGTCAGGTAAACAGTGACATAGAGAAAACCATTTACGACTACAGAGGACTGAAGACTGACTGGCAATAAGGGAAAGTAAAAGACAGAACCTGAGATGCTGTATTATCTCTCGTTTCTCTACTTTTTACTCGCTGTATCTTAAGATTTAAGATTTTTTCAAGAAATCTTAAATCTTAAGATACAGCGAGTAAAAAGTAGAGAAACGAGAGATAATACGATAAGGAAGAGAGACAAGGAGAGACAATGGGATTAAAATAACTCCAGTAATAATGCCTATCACTAAAGAGCAGGGTTAAAAATCTTAGCTTCATTTATCATCATGAACTTGGAATAGGACCATTCCTTCTACTCAAATTTTAGATCTCTACTACAGCCTGTGAAATTTGATTTCTCCTCCAAGTTTAACATTTATTCTTCCTATTCTAATTATTTTTAACAGTTAATAAGTGTTCTGTTGTTTCCTTAGATTCTGTATCTGTTTATCTGGCATCCATTAATCTGAGACAAAGTTGTTTATATCTCCCCAGTGATCCAGAGCCCATGCTCTGAACCCTCTCCCTTATCTAGCTCACCTACTCCAAGTTACTATTTCCCCTGCTCTAAATCAACCCAGGGCCAGATACTAGACACCTCTGTATGCCCAAAACTTTTAGAATTATTCAAACTAGCCAAACTTAAGTCATTTACCCTGCTTTGCTTTGCCTCACTCACCTTGCCTACATTGGAAATCCCAATGAAGGCTGTGGCCTGTGCACTCCTAGTTCCTTTCTGCCTCCTGACCAAATCTGGTGCTTCCCTATGGCCCTGTGTGGTATGCCATGCTTCTTGTTTCTAAAGAAACTGTAACATCAAACTTTTCTTTCAATGGCACTGACCTGTAAGTGTTGTCACTCAGTTGCCTTTATAAATTAAGACCCAGACACAAATCAATAAGAAACTGATACCTTTCACAATCGCCATTTGTAGTTAACAGAAAATTTGTTTTTAAAGTTTTGCTTTAATTTCACCTTCGTCTGAAGTAACAATCAGGTTTTATATGTTATGTTATAGAAACTGAAAGAATGGCAAGGAAATGCAGCAGAGCAGAAAAGATGACCCACCAGCAGGTCTGCCTTACAATTCTCATTATCTTGAACAGGTAAAGAGTAACTGACAATACACATTCTGACAACTTATTAGTCTTCTGAAACTATGACTAGACCTTTTACTATATTAAAAACTCCATGATATAATTTTCCTTGGTACATTTAATATATCTAGTTCAGCTATTTGTTCTTGTAGTGAATATCTTAGATATACTGCCGAGGATGACTTTTTAACCTTACCATTTCCCTGACTATTAATGCCCCACCAGGGATAGGGAATGACATTTCAAATGTTTCAAAAGGTTGTTTTACTAATTGCTTATGTCTTCCTAGTTTTATACTTATCTTAAGTGAGAGGGCTAAAAAATTATGGCAAAGTAATCATCAGTATACATTTCTAAACATAAAGAAAAATATTAAAAACATATTAAAGAAGTTCAATATTTAAATGGAAGCTGGTGTTCACCCTTCTGTGATGTAAAAAGAATACATCTAGAACATGAAAAACATATCCTATAATGTGCTTTCAAAATTCAAATTTTTCTATATTGGATTTTCATAAAGAAAGGTAAACGTGACCACTCTATATTCTCTTTTAATATGAAATACAAGAAGGTCACTCAAGTTAGCAAACTGAATCAGTATTTATATAACTTCAGAAAAAGAAGCTCAAGACAAAAGGAAAGGATCTTTTAACATAAAAATACCTTAAGAGAATGATTATTATTGCTTTCCTTTTCTAAACGCTAAGCCAAAAAACAGACAAAAGAACAAAAAGAATCCATGTCACTTGGGGATATTTAAAATGATTTTATTTATTTATATTAAATATTTCAAAGAAATTAAGAATTCAACCTAGTCTCTAGGGTCTCAAATGTTTTTAAGAATTAGCTAGTGGTCAGATTATACTTTCTTCAGTTAATACAACTTTTTTAAAACTTAGGTCAGGGAAATTTAGGTAATTTTAGGAAATTTAGGTAAAGATAAAACTAGATTGTCTGACAGTTTGGTAAATGTCCTCTTATTTTCCAAAAACTGTAAGAATAGCCATTGATTTTTTTTTAAATGACATTTCCAAATACAATACTAACTTTGTAATGCTAAATTTTCCAAGTAGACTCTTTAGCATTGTTAACAAAATATGAATTTAAGAACATATAACATTGTTTTCTTAGAAGAAAGTTATTAAGGAGTCTTTTTCATTTTAATTTCTAATTTGGAATCTGTAGTATAACTAAATAATATTTAAAATCTATTAAGATCAGCTTTCCTACAATCAACTTTAAATTGTTAAAGGAAATACTTACTGGTTGCTCTGGTAAATCTTGCTCTTCTTCCATGAAGACCAATATTTCTTTATTATGCTTAAGTGACTGGATTGCAAGTGTCTCTCAGCAGTCTTCAGTCTGTTTAAAAAAGGGGGGATTCAGAGCTTTATGTACTCTAAAAGCATTATCATTCAGGCCATCAGAAAATAATTTTTAATATTTTGTTACCTCAAGCTTTCCACGTGAGTTCCAATCTCAAAATCTCGAAGATGCACATGGCTTTTCAAAACTGACACACTGCACCACCAAGTCAAGATAGGTATACACAATGATTTTTATACCTTGCAAAAGCCAACATGTGGAACCGCTTGTGCTGTACTTAAAACATGGTTACTACAGTCCTAATGCAATAAATGTTTTATAATGACAGCCATGTGCAGAACTTTTTTTTTAGGATTAGAGTTACATTTTTTAATGATATAAACTAGCTTAAGCAAGTCAGTAACTTATGATAACATCTAACCTGCTTTAATGTGGAACATTTATATAACTGTTAACACAGACACACAGAATCACTTTAAATAGGACAAACTAAAATATCAATTACTTTCACACCCACCTATATATATGTAATCAATTTAAAGGAAAACTCGATTTTTCTGGATCTACTTTAATAATGTAAATAAATAAGTGAAACTTCGAATCTTAGAATTAAGGAAAAATAATCATGTAAAGCTGGGTCCCAATTTTATTCTGAAATAATGAGCTCCACCAAATATACTGCCTAGTCAATTATTTAAGCAAAACCTTTACATTCTCAGATCCTGCTCTTCCTATCTTGATTTTCATACTAAAACAAAACAAAACAAAACGAAAAAAGAAGACTCTAAGCCCTACATTTACTGGCAAGAACACCTAATTGTGCCCTTCTGTCAAGAGAGAGACAGAGAGACATTAGAAAACTTAAGTTCATTATAAAAATGAAAAACTCCATTACTATTTAACAAAATGAAACTAGCACTTCTCTGAAAGAGATATAATTGCTTATGCTTTTAATTAAGGTCACACCTGTTTTCACTTCTACAATCCACTATAGCTGACTTAACATATAAAGCTAAAGCAAGTTTAAAATCTTATTGCAGAAGTAATGAAAATCAATAAATAACATAAAAAGGGAAATGAAAAACTTCAATTATGTCAATACACCACCACTTCACTTCTACTGCTCCATCTGGGTGCAATATAACACACTTTTAGAGCCACACTCCAGAATGGGAAAAGGAGAGAAAAACGTGTGGAAGGGGTAGTCAGATACAAAAATGTCCAACTCTGACACAGCTTTACTCTCTGCCCTGATCTAGAATGTCAAAAGAAAAACAAAGTTTAAAGGTCAGAAGCACTGGATGCTCAATGCACTCACGTGTAGCTCATACACGGAGCCTCAAAAGTTCTCATACTCCCTGACGTAGGTAACTAGTGCTGTAGAATTACAGAGCGCAATAACTAAAGCTCACGGGAGCTATCTTCCCTGTCCTTGTTTTGTTCTACTTAGAAGAGCATAATCAATGTGACGTGAAAATGACTCACAACTGTGAAAGATGAAACATTTTTATGTTTCACTAACTTATATCTTAGCTTTAAACTGAAATGTCTTAATGGGATTTTAATATTGTCTAAGTGTACATAACATATCTATGATTTCACCCCATAAGAACAAAACAGGGCCAAATCACTAGTAAAATGTAATGCTTCATTTGTTGAATTTTTGTGTGACCAGCTCTCACCTAAACAAAAAGTGATAACATTCCACGTTTTACTTAAATGAAGGCCATAACTATAATAACTGCAATCTCTAATTACATTCTTGGCAAGGGAGAAGGAGGCGATATTCCTTTTCATGGGGAAAGGGTTATAAAATCTATCTCTGGTCAAGAAGAAGGTAAGGAAAATTGATTTTTTTTTTAAAAAAAGGATACTCAGTAACGTGTTTTAATTTTGTTTTTAAACACAAGAACTAATTTATTTTAAAAATATGAACAACATTAAAGGAGAACACAGATTTTTATTGATCAAAAGGGGTTGTGGCTTTTAAAAGGCAAGAAATACTACTCTTAATAATGAGAAAATAAATTTTTCAAGCCATACAAAAATAATGTTAAAATCTTAAATTTTGTTTTTTAGAAATATGGTAATATTCTAGTGATTCTGGACTAATTTCTTACTTTTCTTGAAGTAAATTCTATGATGATATAAGAAAACCTTTTTTAAGAGAAAAATTCAGACATTCCCTTCTACCGCTCCTATTTCTTCTTCTATGAAAATAAGCAGTCTTTGTTGTTTCCATCATAAAAATTTTCTTTGCTTTCTCAGCTTTTAAATTTAGAGGAATAAATAGGGCATAGGTAATTTCTATATTTAGGGAAAAACTTTAAAAATCAAGTAATTGGTTAATGACCACCAATAATTTTGGTCATTTTAAAACAAACCAAAAAAAGCAATCTACAAGGAAAGCATATGATTTATTATAGAATCTTCTAGTATTCTATGGGCAATGTGTGATATGTGTGAAGTTTGAAAACATACATTCTGGCACATATGTGTATAAAATATAATAATAATGAGTATAAATTACATAATTCCATTGCAACATGCATCTAAGATACTACTTTCCATCAATACACTATTTTCTTCCGTCCAAAAATCTGTAATTTGAAAGACCTGAAATATAAGAACATACTAAATACATGAATGGACATTAATACCATTTATCAATGTGCTAAAACTTTTAATATTAAGATCTCAAACCATCTTCTAAAGTGTCACGTGCTTATAATCAAAAGTCGCATTTACTAGCAACCAGATCAAAGTGTTATACAACAGACATGGTGATCGGTACTTGATAATAAAAAAAGTACAGAATTACTATACAAATCTTAGCATTCTCATTTCCATATACTAGTTTTAGAGTTTAATCTAATTGTGTTTTTGTGGGGGGCAGGGTTGTTCTTTTTAGACTATTAATGTAACCTAATATTATTCTACATTCAATGAGATGCATCTTTTAAATATTCAATAATATAACGGCTTGACATAGAAGTGGAAAGTGAGATATATGCAAAGAAAAGAAGCTGGACCATCTTCTTACACTATATACAAGAACAGACTCAAAATGGATTAAAGATTTAAATATAAGACCCGAGACCATAAAACTTTTACAAGAAAACAAACATAGGCAGTAAACTCTCTGATATTACTAACAGGAATTTCTTTTCAGATATATCTCCTCGAGTAAGGGAAACAAAAGAAAAAATAAACAAATGGGACTACATCAAACTGAAAAATTTTTGTACAGCAAGGAAACCATCAGCAAAGCAAAAAAGACAACTGACTGTTTGGGAGAAGATTTCGCTAATGATGCATCTGATAAGGGGTTAACATCCAAAATTTATAAAGAACTTACACAACAACAACAAAAAATCCAATTAAAAAATGGCAGAAGACCTGAACAGATACTTCTCCAAAGAAGAAATACAAATGGCTAACAGATATATGAAAAGATGCTCAAGGTCGCTAATCATCAGAGAAATGCAAATTAAAACCACAATGAGATATCACCTCACACCTGTCAGATTAGTACAGCCTCTATGGAAAATAGAATGGAGGTTCCTCAAAAAATTAAAAATGGATATACCTTTTGACCCAGCAATTGCACTTCTGGGTATTTATCCAAAGAAAATCAAAACAATAATTCGTAAAGATATGCACTCCAATATTCATGGCAGCACAATTTACAATTGCCAAGATATGGAAGCAACCTAAATGCTCATCAACAGATGACAGGATAAAGAAATTATGGTTTATATATACAATGGAATATTACTCAGCCATTACAAGAACAAATTAATCAAAACCAGACTCACAAATATAGTGGACAATTTGGTGATGGACAGAGGGGAGGAGGGTTGCAAGGCTGAGAGAATGGGGTGAAGGGTTAACGAAGTACAAATTAGTAGTTGATAGTTAGGTACGGGGAGCATGACAGAGAGAATGCAGTTAGCATTAATATGATGGTTAAGTGGAGGGTTAGGGGAGGGAGGGAGCAATTGGGGGGATCATTTTGTCAACATTATAGATGTCTAACCAATGTACTATATAGTTGAAACTAATTTAAATAAATAAATTTATAATAAAAAAGAAGTGGAAAGTGGACTCTTACTGTAATTTAAATGAATATAATTACAACTTAGCCAAACAGCCAAAGAAATTACAAAACATACTCTGAATTTCTTGTTTTAAGTTACCTTAAGAAATCTGAATTGTAACATCTTTTCATAACTTTCTAGTTTCAATTCTTATGATTGGTTTCTAAATATAGCTGTTTTATCAACTTTTTTGGAGTTTGTCAGTATCTATATGCCTTCATGACAGAAACCTGGGAAAATCTACAACTTAGAACAGAAATTTCCCTACTTGCAAATGCTGACAATGAAAAAATAGAAACTGTGGTTTCATTCAAAAAGGTGGCACAATTGTAAATATTGTGATTTCATAAGTTGAAAAATAAAAGCTGGATCCTTTTGTAATATGGCAGCCATAATTTTTAATCCATAGAAATTGGAAGGGAAATAATTAGTAACAAATATTTTATTTCAAAATTCTAATTAGATTCTACCTCATAATTTCTGTTTTGTAACAAGTTCAACACACTATTTATCCTGTAGTTGTAAAAGGCTACAAGCAAGAACGTAAGTTACTTCAATGTGTTGTTATAGCTCGTAAGCACAGAAAAGGAAATAAAAAATATATAAATATTTTAAAGCACAGAATAAAGGTCAGTTTTTTTCAATGAAAACATACGCATCATTCTTAATTACAACATTAAGAAGACAGTCTGATTATAGGTCTTGAAAGAGGAACTTGATGCAGCTAATTGTGCACACAGATATTCAGGGTTAACTGAATATCTCTGATACAATTCTAAGTAAAACACAGATAGCTCATAAATTTGATCACTGACTACACTGTATTTTAGAAATCTATTTACTACTCCCTCCAGGTCCTTATATGTATTTTTAGAGCATGCCAAAGAAAAGGCTACAGAAGTTTCCCTGGAGAAAATTAACAACATCCCTCCCAAA